CGTTACAACCGAGGTATGCAGCAAAGCATTTGTGAAGCCACAACACGCACAACCTTGAGGGGGATGGGCTACAACAGCAGAAGACCCCACCGGGTACCACTCATCTCCACTACAAATAGGAAAAAGAGGCTTCAATTTGCACGAGCTCACCAAAATTGGACAGTTGAAGACTGGAAAAATGTTGCCTGGTCTGATGAGTCAGCCGATAATCACATTTTATGACTCGATCGGTACTCGTTAAACTTGGCCAATCTTATAAACCGATCACAATTGATGACGTCAATGCGTGAGGACGTACACGATGAGTGGGGACGTAAATGTTTTGTCGCCGCAGTCATGTCATCACCGGTGTGAAATTACTATGATGTTTTGAGAAACAATGAAAAATTTGCTATTTGCTGTTTAAGTTCCAAAGAAATCTCACGTGGAGGCGCATTGTCCAAAATATTTAATACAACGAACCTCATTCGGCACTTAAGAACGAGCCACCACGAGTCGTACGGCGAATACGAAAAACTGGCAACTGCAATTAAAAAAGGCAACGGTAACTAATAATGCGACTCTCACTCAGCCATCCATTACAGACATTCTGAAAAAACACAAACTGTACACACCAGACAGCAAGAAAGCTAAGGATATAACCGCGAAGATAATGTAATTTATATGTATTGACCACCAGCCTCGGTCAGTCACAGAAGACATTGGATTTAAACGCCTAATTGCACATCTTAAACCATGATATAAACTGCCACAGCGCAAATATTTTACTGATGTTGCTCTCCCAGACTTATAGCAAACCTTGTGGGTTGCATCAGCTGGCTCCATTTTGTTTATTAATTTTTGTCTCATATTAAGCATGCTGATGTGCATAGTGTTATGCGTAAACCCAATTGTAAAGGCATATTAAAATGTTCACTATATAATAAATATTTATTTAGTACTCTGTTAAAACAATAGTTACATTAGATATATTACTGTAAAAATATAACAAAAATATAACAAAGGCAACATTTATAGTATTACTTTATCTGAAAAAAAGTTAATGGTGATCAGAGAGCTTACATATCAGTTATATAAACTTGAAGCATCAGAATTGGCATTGGTATCGGGCGATCACCATGGCAAAAAATCGGTACTTGGTATCGGTGGCTCCTGATCGTAGCATCCCTAATGCACTTCCCTTGGATTTTCAAGATCACTTTCTGTCTAAGTTATTAATTATTACATCGTATCCATATTACATGCCATTGCTCCATTTCATACAGATTGACAGTTAATTGATATTTGATAACACAAATTAATACATAAATAAGTTGTAAAGTGTGAATTAGGCAATGCACCGTGGGACAAAGCAAATGTACCTCAGCTGAATTGCTTGATTACGTGTTTCATCACATTTAATACATTAGCATTAGTGATGCTCCAATTGGTCGGCCGATATTGGCTAAAAATAGCTTGATCGGCGAGCCCCAAAAGCGCCGATCAAAAAAGCCGATCACTTGACGTAAATTACTCGTGCGACTTTTTCACACGGGCATGCACGGCGCACAGGTAAACAACAGCGGAGCGGAGCTTACTAGTGGCAACATGAGTTCTCCTGTCTGGAAGTTTTTCAAAGTGTCCGATAAAGACGTAAAGTTAGCCGTTTGCAATGTATGTCGTGATGAAATCCCTCGAGGTGGACGCAAGCAACGGCATTTTAACACCATTAACATGATTAGGCATCTTAGAACACGCCATACAACTGAATATGCCGAGTATGAGAAACTAAACCACTCTGCTCTCGGGGAACATTTCATGTGTTGACCCTGGAGGTGTCAGGCAACAGTGCTGACCAAAGTGTTACTGCCCCTCCTTCAGTGTGGGGCGCCAAGTGTCAAGCGCTTGATTCTTCAAGATCTTGACTGTAGCCTATTTCTACAGTTTTTAATTTTTTTTTCAATATAGTTAATTTAGAGTTAGTTTCATTTCTACAAATGGTGCAAACTCTGCTAGATTATAGATAAAAGATTCCCATTCCCCTGCCATTCTGTGATCGGCAGTGATCGACAATCGGCAGATCATGATCTTGGTGATCGGTAATCGGTGATCGGCCACAAAAATGCTGATCGGAGCATCTCTAATTAGCATTAAGCATTTATCCATTGAATAAAAAAAGAAAACAATAATTAAGCCAGCATTTGAATCCTGGCTTCTTATATACAAAGATAATTACTCTTCTTATAAAAATTAATTTGGAATTAAATAAAATTTAAGAATTAATACTTTTTTACACAAAAGGGTTAACAGTAACATTCTATTAATCTCCCAGCTGATCAATTGAGAGGGGCATTTGCTCACATAGTGTGATTTTTAACTAAATTTAGTGTTCCAATATCTCCTAGAGAATACTCTTGTTTTTGACACAATTCTTTTAGGTCTTCATAAACTACTGCAAGATAGCAGCACACCTGACAGGATGCCAGTAACTTGAAAAGATGTCACGATAAATTTTATTAACAAAACATTAAAAGTGGAATAATAAATACACCAGAATCCTGATGCATAACGTTGCCACACTGTGGTCCGAGTTCATTTGCAACATTGAAAAT